TATATATATATATATATATATATATATATATATATATATATATATATGTGTGTGTATATATATGAATTTTATTTTGTCTGAACCTATCAAATTCTTCCCTTCTGTGTTTTGAATGACTGAGGTTATGATCTGTGAGTTTTTTATGATCAGGCTATTTATTAATTAGAATCACTGTTTTATAATTGTTCTAGAATTGCGCCGCTCAAGGTGGCTGCATGTTGGAGCAGCTCTGTTACTTTCATTCTGAGATTTTGCTTTTGGAAACTTTAATTCCTCTTTTTCTGGATGTAAATCACATTTTTTGGATGATTGTTTCCTCTGGTATCAGATGCTGTGCAGCCGAAAGGATTTTTACTGAAACTTTTTTGGTTTTGGACATTTGTTATGATGCGTAACCATGGCAACAATGCAGTTTTCTACAACAACAGCAGCTGAATAACATCTCAAAAGCTCAAATAATATCTCAACTATGGCCCCAACTCTCAAATGAGTTGAAAAGGATGTTCTGTGGACGCATTCTCATCTACCTGCCAGCTGTGCTCGAGTGCCTGACCACTGAGATCCTGGAACTAGCAGAAACACGGCTCATGACAGCAGAAGGACAGGATCGTCCCTCAGCACCTACAGTTGACTGTCCACAGCTATGAGGAGCTCGGCAGACTGCTGGGAGGAGTGGCCATCGCTCTGGGAGGAGTTCTGCCCAGCATTCAGGTGGTCCTACAGTCCAGGGGAACCAAGAGGACAGCCGAGTCTGGGTGGACGGATCGGACGGCATCTGCAGCCAGTTTCTTAGGATCCACTGTGGGATGGACCTTTACAAGAGATCCTTCCTGTCTACAGCCATCAGTATCTATAATATCTCTTAATGAAATGAGGATAACGAGTTACAACAACAAAATAATTTCCCTTTGGGATTAATAAAGTATTATTGAATTGAATTGAATTGAATTGAATTGAATTATAACTGGCAAAAGCAAGTTAAAAATTTTGTGCCTATAGCTTCCTAAACTAGTTTTTAGATAAATAATTACACAATGATACTTTTTTACATGTCCATATCTAATTTCCTCTCATTTCCTTCCTATTTGATATTGACATATTGCTTGTTTCAGTTCTCTAACGCAACATCCAGACTACTTCTGCAACAGATAACACCTGACTCGCTCAATTCATCCTCAGTGAACTACATGGTTCCTGTTCACCGCAGTCTTTTCTAGTCTAATGACCACTTCAGTTCCAAAACAGTAAATCAGGTTTTTACTGAATGGTTACACATTAATAAACACTCACAAGTTGTTGTTTTTTGTCTTTTTAAGTTGTCACTTTTTTGCATCTTTGCTGCCTCTAAGCAGTCCGACTTGTTTCACGAGTAATTCACACTCAGCTCTATATGGCATGCATCAGTCTGGTAAAACAAGAAGTTATTTAATTTCTTTTACAGCTGCCTTTTCAAACAAACAAGTTTGAGCACTCTGCTTTTATTCTCCAACCTGTGCTGGTTGTTACTGAAAGGAGAGCAGAAGGTGTAAACTTGGACTGTAAACCCTCTTCTTCTTCGTGGGATCGCTCCTTGAGCACCTTGAGCATTGACTGTAGCAAAGACCTGGGATGACCTTTCTACTGAGGAGCCCATAAACCTGGACCTGACTTCTCACTGGCCTGCTGAGAACATGTAGGGGCACAAGTCAGGTCAAGCTGCTGATACTGGTCATAGAGTTGGACTGTACCAGGCCCAGAACCCACACCAAGCTGCTGGTCAGAGAAACCTCAGAAGATCAACCCAAGGTATCCAGGCCTGGCAACTCCCTTTCACACCTGCGACCATACTGGAAGAAGTGGAGCTATAAATCATCAGCTCCACATCATGGAGACAAAAGTTGGCCAGGAAGAAATGTGGCTGTCTAATTGGTAGGCTTTTGTTTGCTATTATATGACTTGTCCTTTGTATAACCCAGGAGAGGAGGCGTTTGTAACTCCATGCAGAATCATATGAAGTGATGCAGTCTGAGTTTATTCTTTGTTTAAACATTAAAGGATCTGTTTTATCTGTTAATGCATAATCACCACAGGAGGTTATAGAATGCAGACTGGTCGGGGTCCTGCAGACACTCAGTCACATTTTCAACTTTGATTTTAAGATTTCACACAAATGATCCATTTTTGTTTATATATGTACATCACCTTTTTGTATTTTTCACCTTTTTGTATTTTTCACCTGAATAAAGATTTGAACTGCGGCTCCGGGGAAGTTCCTGAGTCTTGGTGAGTTTTTCTTTTAAACTTTTTCTGCTCGGTTTCATATGAAGCATAACAAAACACACGAGCTGAGCTAAATTTGGGGTTTTAGAGGTGTCCCCCCCACCCCGCCCTCCTGCTTCCATATTAAAGATTCAGATTGGGTCTAAATTTTCATGGATCCAGTAATAACAGTAATTGGTTCTTAGAGACTTATTGATGTCAGCTACTGTAATTTAGCTGTGGGTGAGTCAGGCTGACTCCAACAGTAAATCAGTTGTAGAAGTACATCCAACAGTTACTTCCTGAAAGTTTCATTCAAATCTGTCCAGTGGCTCATGAGATATCTTGCTAACAGGCAGACCAAGTTGGCTCCAAATAGTTATCACTAAAGTTTCTGTCGGCGCTCAGAATATGTGTTGAGGAGCAGCCTCAGCTACAACCTGAACAGATTTTAGGCCAGTCTCTAAAACGACTGCGTCGCGGCCACGTTTGTGTGTTTCTAAGGTCAGTTCGTTGTGGCAGCCATCTTGAATCAGGTTTGCTCTGAAATTTATCAAGGTTGAGTCAGTTCCTCTAGATGGATTCTTCCTTGTTTAACAATTTCATCTTTTGTCCAAAAGATGTCTTCAGTCTGATACTTCTTCAGTAAAAGACGAAACGTTTCAACAAAGAAGAATCCATCCAGAGGACCTGACTCAACCTTGTTAGATTTATCTACCTGGATTATTGAGCATGCATCAGGACATTTGCTCCACAAGTTAATCAGGTAGAGAAAACAACTCCTGTTGTTTCTCAAATACATTAATGATTTACCAAAACCAGATTTTGTCGCTTGTCTCATTTGCTGATGACACCAATCTCTTTGTTACTGACAGAAACCATGAATCAATTATAGACAAGGTAAAATATGGGCTCGTTCAATTTGCTCTGTGGTTTCAGTTAAATAAACTATTGTTTAATGTTAAAAATCTCATTTAATCTTATTTAAGAATAACAACTACAATCCAGAAAAAAACAACAATTTATATTAATAACAGTTTACTTTGTAGTGTTTCATCAACAAAGTATTTATCTACTGTATATTGATGATAAACTATTGTGAGTCGCTGTGTAAGAAGATATCAATATTTAGGTATTATAAAAAAGGTTAAACACTATTTAAAAACAAGTACTTGATTAACCTTGCATAAGAAGCATTACATATATAAATGGATGGATTGATGGATGGATGGATTGATTGATGGATGGATGGATGGATGGATGGATGGATGGATGGATTGATTGATTGATGGATGGATGGATAGATGCTGTTTTTGTATGACAACCCGGTGACAAGATGCCTGCAGCACCTGCACAACGTTATGACGTCATGTGCGCCGTTGAATCTAGATTTGTGAAAATGTACAAATTGGCACTGTTCGAGTGTTGTCATTGTGTTAGAGATTAAATGTAATGAAAAAATTTAACATTAAACATAAAGTGTTACATCATTTTCTTACCCCTTTTTGGCATCTACATTTGGTAGCAGGTCAAACTGACAAAGACCATGTAGCATAATGTAGTATTTTAATTCCACAGCAGAGAAAGCGATGTAGTATCTGTAAGTAGGTCTAGGGGAAAAAAAATCGTATTGTTATCAGTTATCAGTCAAATAAGTGTTAACATATCAGCATATCGGATATCAACCAAAAATCATGCATCCCTCCTCTCCACATTTAGCTCCATCCACACCTCTGTTTAAAAAATTACAAACACCAACAATTTATGATGTGAATAGGTATCAAACAGGAATCTTGATGTATAAAGTTCTATGTATTCCATTATGTTTACCTCAATATTTTCATAATTTCTTTGAGTTTAGTTCTCATTATCATTCATACTCTACAAGAAGGTGTGATTTACCTATCCCCTTCTGTAGAACCACTGTTGCTAAATGTTCATTCATGCATCAAGATGTTGTGCTGTGGAACAGTTTAAAACAACTAAGTGAATCATGTACGACATTATCTTTATTTAAAAGAAAGTTCAACCAAGTTGATACATTTTTAACACATTTATTGTTTTATTTTTATTATTTAAATGTTTTGGACAATTAAAATTCATGATGGGCTTCTGTCTATTGTGTTTGTTTAAAGTTAGATGTAAGCTTATGTATGAATATTTAATGATTTATTTATTTATTTATTTATTTTAAGAGGGGGGGGGGGGGTGTTTATGACCTCTCTTGCACATTTTGTTTTTATCTTTTCCTTTCTGTGTGTTTTCTTTTTTGTGTGCAAACAATAAAATAACAAATAAAAAAACATAAAACGATTAAAGTTTTGTTAAAATTCATTGTTTGGTTCATGAGATCTTGGTAGCACACACACAAACACGATCACTCAGCCTTTCTCTTTCAGCAGCTGGTGACAAACAGGAGTAATGTTAGCTCATTTCATCCAAACGTAGATTTACTTTTATTAAACATGTTTCTGCTGGCAGTTCTCTAGAAAATGGTGTGATATTTTAGCGTAATATCACTAAAATTAGAAACATCTTATTTAAAAATGATGCAGAAAAACTGGTCCATGCATTTGTCACATCTCCACTGGAGTATTGCAATGGTTTATCCGGGTGTCCAAATACTTCTTCATCTGATCCAAAATATTGGTGCCAGAGTCTCAACTGGAGTTAGTGGGAGAGATCATATCTCTCCAGTTTTAGCTTCTCTCCATTGGCTCCCTGTCAAATCCAGAATTGAATTTAAAATCTTACTTCTAACCTACAAAGCTCTCAACTACCTAGCTCCATCTTATATTTTAGATACCGGTATTATTGTTTCATATTTTCCTAACGGAGCACTTTGCTCTCTGACTGCAGGTTTACTTGTGGTTCCTAGAGTTTACAAAAGCAGAATGGGAGGCAGATCTTTCAGTTATCAGGCTCCTCTCTTGTGGAACCAACTTCCAGTTTCTGTCCATGAGGCTGACACATTGTCCAGTTTTAAGACTTTCCTTTTTGATAAAGCTTAGTTAGGGTTGGCTTGTTATGCTGTCATAGGCTTAAACTACTGGAGGACAAACTGACCTCGTTTCTTAAAATGAATTGTTACAGTACAATAGTTTTCATTTGATACTATTTCTATCTTAGCATGCAATTCTCAACCTGCCATTGTGTATCTGTTCCTCTCAAACCCAGCCAGTTGAAGCAGATGGCCTCTTGTCCTGACCCTGGTTCTGCTAAAGGTTTCTTCCTCATGAGGGAGTTTTTCCTCTCCACTGTCGCCTTCATGCTTGTTCAATATGAGAGTCTGTGATGGCGTTGAATTCAAAGCAGTCTGCTCCTCAGATAAATGTTAAATTATTATATTTATAAATTAATATTTCTGTTCAGTGCCCTGAGATGACTTCTGTTGTGACTTGGCACCATATAAATAAACTGAATTGAACTGAATATTATTTAACAAACCATTTTACCTAAAAGACATCTGCCTACAAAGAAATGACCTCCCTGTGTTTATAATCCATGAGTTTGTACTTTAGTAAAACCTGGTGGTGAAACAGATGAACAACACTGCGTCTAGCATCTAATACATTTGTTAAAGATACTAAGTACAAAACAATTCAGGCCTTTTTCAAATGTACCATACATATAAGTCATAATGTTTTCCATTGTGACCCCGCAGCTCACAAAGTGACTGCTGGACATGAGCTCCAGCAACCCCCATGACCCAGAAAGGAAGAAACAGGTAAAGATAATGATGAATGCAAACATACAGACAATGTACTGCTGTGACTGATATAAATAAGTGTTTAATAAAGAGATGTTACAGATATGATGCTGAGGATGGAGTATTGCTTTAAGCTGGAGATGATTTGTTGTTTTTCACCCTGAGAGCTTCAAAAATGAATCGTGTGCCACCCTGTGGGAAACACCTACAAGCTCTTCTCTGGTTTAACTCCAAACACATGAGAGGACATTTCTGTCTAAGTAGGGTGTTCAGAGTGAGTTGAGCAAACCTAAAAGAAAAAAAAACATGAAGAAACATAATTTAAAGAGTGAAAATAAAAGCATGCGGATGAATTTGATGATTTAATTTGCATAAGAGTCCCTGCTGTGTTTGTCCTGATCCCGTGGGGGTAAGTGTGATCTCAGGTTTCTATGTCAACCAGCTGTCCATTCGCATCCGTTTCATCATCGGACTCTGCCCGCCCTCTGTTCGGCCCGCAGGGAGCGAGCGGAGGTCCGGGCGTCGCTGCTGCTCTTCTCGGTCACTGCCGTCCTCGTGGGAGCTGCAGGATGAGTTGACGCTGTCTGCAGGAGACCGGCCCATCTCTGCTCGGGTGGAGGAGGAGGCAGAAGATGGAGGGTAAGGAGGGGCGTTAGCACGGCTCCCGTACGGCTGACTGAGGTGGTCGCGTGGAGGCGAGATGGGCTCAGCTTTGATGTTGATGTGGTGGTTGGCGATGATGGAGAGACTTGAGCTTCCTGCCCTGCAGACAGAGACAGAGGTGAGTGAGGAGTGAAAGCGCCACCTGGTGGAGAAAGACTAACTTTCTGTTTGGATATGATTTTGTTAGCAAGTAAACAAAACTTTTCCTAAATAATAATAAAAAAAACTACAAAATGCATCATAGTAAAATAGAATAACCATCCAGTTTGTACTGTAAAATATAATACTTTCAATTCAATTCAAAAACACTTTATTAATTCCAAAGGGAAATTAAATGTTGTAACTCATCATCCTGGTTTCATTAAAAAGTTGTTATAGATGCTGAAGGTTGTGGGACTATATTATACCCATATATACTGTATTATATCCAGCTGTGGCTGGGTATAATATAATAACAATAGCAACATTGCTGTGACAACAACCAGGACCGTCTTTGTCTTGCTGAACCAGAGTACACAGTATAAAAATATATATATAAAAACAGATTTTAATCTTTAATAATACAAACCCTAACCCTGAGGCTGCTTGGTTCGGTTAGAGAGCTCACAGTGTTTGTCACTCACCCTAAAGAGCTGAGCTGGTGCTGGTCCCACGCTGCCATGGAGCCCAGAGAGGAGCCTGACGCAGAGCTGAAGCCCGACATGTCTGCACCGCTCAGGGGGTAATCTGACAACGAGAAGCCATTTGTCACATGACTGATCGCTAAAACATTAGATTGACTCTAATTTGCCCAAGTTAGCCCTAAAATAAGTTTTAATTTTCGGAATTTTAAATTGCTTTTATATTTTTAAGCCTTTTTTTTTTATACTTGCTTCTTGTTTATTTCTTTATTTTTCTACCAAAAAATAACATTTCTATCTGAGAAAACACCACACTTTATTACTGGCTTAAAGATATTTGTAAAGTATCCTGATACATGCTCAATAATCCAGGTAGATAAATCTAACAAAGAGAAGTCAGGTCCTCTGGATGGATTCTTCTTGTTGAAACGTTTCATCTTTTATCCAGAAGTCTTCATCAGTCTGAGGAGCTGCAATAAACTCAGCCTTAGGTGATATTTATAAGACTGAGTTTGTTGCAGCTCCTCAGACTGATGAAAACTTCTGGATAAAAGACGAAACGCTTCAACACAAAGAATCCGTCCAGAGGACCCGACTGTACTTTGTTAATTATTTGTAAAGACTCATTACAAAATATGTCCCAGCCACAGATGAGGACTAGCTGGATGATGACTAATACACATAAATTCACATTCTTTACTAACTGGCTTTTTTATGTGAGTGTTCCTGTAAAGTGCCCTGAGACAACTTTGTTGTGATTTGGCTCTATATAAATAAAGTGAATTGAATTGAATTCTTCAGAAGTTCTTTATAAATACGTATGATAAATATAAATATACCATACTTATAGATTATTTATTTACTTATTAAGTATAAACAACACATGAAATGCAGGACAGAGTGTATTTACTGTATTTTCTGGACTTGAAGTCACTTTTTTCATACTTTGGTCAGTCCTGCGACGTATTGTCCGAATCAACTTATATACGTTTTTCTCTATTCATGACAATTTTTGACTGACGTGTTAAATGTTCATTCATACTGACATGAACCAAAGAGTAAACATTACCATTTTCAGCTGCGAGAGGGCCCGCTAGACTTTTGACAACTATATGTTGTCAAACATATAGTTACAACTTTACAACCTAGCTGTTTTTTTGTTACATATTTTTAATACCATTTTATTTTCACTTGTTATTCTCAGTTTGTATGCATCTTTTATGATTGTCCACTGTTGTTATCACTCTTTGTTAAAATCAGGTCTCTCCTGTAAATGGGTCCCTGAGGATCAGTGGGATTAACCTGCATAAATAAAGTTTGAATGAACGTTGTTGCTAACCCCCCTCCCCCCATCTTCCTCCAGAGTTGATGGAGTTGTTCAGAAGCGACACAGAGGATGAAGAATCCAATGGATTCAGTGATGTGGAATGAGATTGGCATATTTATCGATAACTTTCTTGTCAGGCTCGTTGACTTATGTTAATTAATCCTGTTCAGGATCCCAGGTATGTTCTGTGTGTGGTTGTTATTTCAGTTTGTAAATGTCTGTTCTTGCACTTTGTGAAATACACTTCTAAATAAATGCGACTTATACACCGGAGCATTTTTTTCCTCTTCAGGAGACATTTCTTGACTGATGCAACCTATACTCTGGAGCGACATATAATCCAGAAAATACGGTAATTCAACAAAGCAATAAAAGTAGAGTATTTCATGCGTATCGTAGCCTTATTGAGGTCAGCAGGAATACAGACTACAGTCGGGTACCGTTGTCATAGGCAGAGCTGATGCTGGAGTAGTCCAGACTCTGGTGAGGCAGCCTCGATGTGGTGATGGAGACCACAGGCGTGGACAGAGGCTGACTGGACTGAGGGCTGCTCAGCCTCTGGTTACTCTGTAAACAACAAAACAAACAAACATAAACAGACTTTAATCTTCTCTGTGAACCATGAGCTGAGAACAGACTTGGTGGAGTTTGAACAGGATTTGTAATATCCTGATTCAACCACAAGATGGAAGCATACAACATGTTCAATATCATTTGACTAATCATTCTTCATGTTTTGTTTTGTCTCAATCATAATGTTTAAACTTCAAGGAGATCCTTCTGAACTTGTTGGTTGTTGCAGTCCTGTTCAGAAACCGTGTCAGAAGTCCAACAGACGTACAAAAACAAGTAGCAGGAGCAGCTGTGTCCAAAACCCCTTAGTTTTGTCATTAAGAACACAACCAGAGTCGTGCACAGTGCTAGAGCTGCTTCATGAGAGGAAGTGTTTAACAGATGATACAAAACTGTGAAGTTATGACATAACAGTGTTTTAAATTGAGCTTCAGCTCTGAATGTCTGCCTCCATAACTCGATCTGTCCCACAGCACTTAAAAGTTTTGTGTTGCTGCTCTCTGAGCGACTGGAGCTTCAGCTTGATCATTTTAGCAATGACATCACCTCAAACAATGCCATTCACTTGTGAATGTACACACATGTGCACACACGCAAATAAAAAGTGGGTTTAGCAACTGATGCATTTCAGAAACAATAAAAAAAAAAAAAAAAAAAAGCCAATGTTGAGATAGCGCTGTTTCTCAATACTCTGTGTGTGTGTGTGTGTGTGTGTGTGGTGCACCTGTTACTCTGAGCAATAAATACATTGTCTCAGTTCAGCTATCACGGCAACGAGGCTGACACACACACACACACAAACACACACACACACACCCGGTGAAGACAGCGGACATGCTCCGTGCTTCATGCGTTTAAATTTAAAGAGGCAGCTCCTGCCTCTGCAGAAGGCATCGACAGAGTGAGGGGAAGTGAAAGCCGTTTCAAGATGATCACATCGAGGAGCTGCTGTCTGAACACAAATCAACACCTCCTGGTGCCACAAGTGAAACAAAGATCTTCTGAGGAGCTGCAGTCCTTTTCTGCTGCTTTAAACTTACAGCTTCACACCAGGGTAAAACTACAAAATATTTTATTCAACACTACTTAAAGTACCCTGAAATGTCAGCTGCTGCACAGACACTGGCAAAACAGAGTTTGTAAAACCTAAATAATTAAAAAAACACAACAAATTCATGCAATGATTAAAGTCTGTGGAAGGGTGACATACAACTAGCGGTGGGAATGAAACAACTCCCCACAGCTTCACTACGATCCAGAGAGCTGTTTAAGCAGTAGAACAATTGTTGATGCATTTCAATCTTGATGCAAAAATGCCCACATCCTTGGTACAACCTAGTAGATTTAAAGCAAATTATTTGTATACTTCCAATTAATATACTTCTAGTTGTATACAGCCGTCTTGTGCATGTGATGTGCATGCCATAAACCAGTGGTTCCCAACCATGGTCCTGCATGCTTTAGTTGTTTCCATGCTCCAACACACCTGATTCAGTGATTTAATTACTTCCTCATGTTCTGCAGAAGTCTGTTAATCATCCATTCATTAAAATCAGTAGTGTTGGGGCAGAGAAACAACTAAAACTTGCAGGATGGAGTTCCTCAAGGACCATGGTTGGGAACCCCTGCCATTGACTGTCAGGGCTCTGCAGTTTCACACCTCTGAGTACGGCCTGAACCAAACAGTCAAATGGTCCAGCAAGTTGACGGGTGAGATGCAGCAGAGGTGATCCACATCCATCTTAAGAGATGTGTCTCATCCTCTGCGCTGCGAGTTCAGGCTCCTCCCATCAGGATGCAGATATTTGATTCCCAGATGTAAAACTAAGAGGTATAAAACCAGTTTTGTTCCTGTGGCCATGAGCTTCCAAAATTCGACTTAGCATAGCACCAGTCCATTTTTGAATAATTTTTAAATCAAGTTATATTTATTTTTTATACTTATTGTGTGTCTATGTCAAGTTTCCTGTCTGGCAAGAAAGCTGCCTCACCTCACTGTAACCAAATCTACGTAAGGGTATAAATAAAGTTGATTGATTTATTGACTGGTTGATTGATTGATGTGAACAGCTAGTTCTGGATGTCACCAGCAAACTGGTTGATCCACTTGGAGGTGCTATTTATAAGACGGTTTGCTGCAGCGCCTCAGACTGAAGAAGTCTTTTGGATAAAAGACAAAATGTTTCAAGAAGAATCCGTCCAGAGGACCTGACTCAACCTTGTTAGCTTAATCTACCTGGATTATTGAGCATGCATCAGGACCTCTAAGTACAACTTTTTGTGCTCCTCATTACTACGTTAATAATTTCCACTGGATCAAAATATTCCCGCTGCACACAAACAACTAGGAGGACTTTTTGAAAGGGAGAGATAATATTTATATCAGGTCTCTCTTGTAAATGAGTCCACAAGGCTCAGTGGGATTAACCTGTCTACATAAAGGTTGAATGAATTAATTTTACTGTGTATCAATCAAAGTAATCATGGCTGTTACATCTCTGTATGCCCAAGGCTGCTCAGTTTCTGACCCATTAAGTGTGAAAGAAACGGTCACAGACAATAAAAACAACATTACAAGAACATCCAGTTCCACCCACACTGACCTAACATTAAGGAGTTATTGTCATGCTCCTTCAAAATCAAAGAGGCCGTCACATGAATTGTTCTGGATATTTCTTCATTCGGCAGAGATATGAAAGCACAAACAGCTGCTAGTTTTTCCTGAAGAAGGAAAAAAGGGCTGGAGGATTCGAAAATGTTTCAGTGAGGAGAGGAGGAGGAGAGTGGGATGGTTGCGCTGATAGCTCCTGAAACATGAATGTTGGTCACTTGTGTACTGTCAGAAGAAACGGAGTGATAAGAAATCCTGAAGACTAACAGCAGAGAAGACAGAACTCGTGGGGTGAAGGAGTGTTCATCACTTCACTCCCACAAAGTCTCAATGAAAACATTAGCCTTTATTTTTCTAACTGAATACAGAGAACAGAAGCAGTTAACAGACTGCTGCAAAATGTAAAAATGCTCAACTTCTAAATCATTTTTACAACCTGAAATCAGTGTTGTGCTGTAAACGATGTATCTGTGCCACATTTTTAAGAGTTGAACATAAAATAATGCAACTTCTTTGTCTAAATTATTGGTTGAGTCACTAGTAACTGGGAGATAAAGTTAGAGAGGCCAGACTGAGATGGTTTGGACGTGTCCAGAAGAGGGACAGTGGGTATACTGGTAGAAGGATGTTAGAAATGCAGCTGCCAGGAAAAAGACAAAGAGAAGATATATGGATGCAGATAGAGAGGACATGGAGGTAGTTGTAGTGAGGACAGAGGATGCAGAGGACAGAGATGGAGGAGGATGACTCACTGTGGAGACCCCTGAAGAGGGAAAAGTCAAAAGAAGTCGTCAAAACTTAAATGCTTTGTAGACTCCCTCTTTCCCATAAATCTAAGACTAAGCAGATGACTGGAAATGACATCAGTCTTTTTGTATAAAAATTATATACAGTAATTACAGTAGTCCCTCGATTATCAAGAGGGATCCGTACCCTGAAGCCCTGCGATAAGTGAAAAACTGCGAAGTAGGGATGGTAGTAGTAAGTACTAGTTTATTTTAGTATGTACGCACTAAAATAAACTAGTACTTACTAATACTATCCCTACTTCGCGTATGCATGTGTACGTGCACACCTACATATATACATACATACATACATACATACATACATACATACATACATACATACATACATACATACATACATACATACATACATATATACATACATACATACATACATACATACATACATACATACATACATACATACATACATACATACATACATACATACATACATACATACATACAAAGTTAGAATTAAATCCTGCTAACACAAAACATGTTTTGTTTTTTTATTCTTAGCTTTAAAGTGGATATTAAAGGGATTAGATGGCTTCAAACATCTGCTAAGTTCATGGCATAAACCAACACAGACATGTTCCTGTTTTTAGTATTTTACGTTGCTTTATAATGTAGGTGTTTTTGTTTTGTTATATATATATAATTTTCTTGTATTTTTCAATTTATATGCTTTTTATGATTGTCTACTGTTGTACTGATAAATACATCCTAGAGGGTAAACTATATCTTGGCTGCAAGTATCAAGCTGAGAAATCCTTCGTTTTATACAACTGATAGTGGTTGGTCATTAATTATGATGAAGTTTAACAACTTCTCGGTAAACATTCGAACTCCGGGGTTTCAGCAGTGTATTATTTTCATTCAGTACGGAGAAGGCAGCCTGATTTCGGTCAGCTGCGCTCATTCTGACCCTCCTCCGAGACGGGCAGAATGAGCGGGTCAGACTGAGCGTGGCTGACCAAAATCAGACTGCCTTCTCCGTACTGAACAAAAATAACACACTGCTGAAACCCCGGAGCTTGAATGTCCAACGTAAGACTAACTTTACCGCGGTTTAATGTGGTGCTACGGCTCTGCAGACATTGCACATTGCTGTCTTGCTTTGTGGTGTTTCTAGTGTAAAATACTTCCACACAATGGACATGTTTAGATGAAATGCTGGCTAACTGTTAGCCACAGTGCTGCTGCACGTTGTAGCTGGCTGAAAACTATGAAATGGATTTCCTGAATGTGAGGCGGGTCTTATTACTCTGGGCTTCATGAGACGCCTCCGTTCAGGAAATCTATTCCATAGTTTGAAGCCAATGTGCAGAGCTTCCAGCAGAGAAAGATGTGGAGACGTTTTATTTGGAGACACAGACATGCATCATGGATCAGAAACATCAGTAGGTTGGATCGGAAAAATCTAATACGTAAATTATGCTGGTATCGGAGGCCGATACAGATACTGGATCGGATCGGCTCCATCCCTAATATATATATAAACTCCAAACACTCTAAAAAAAGCATAGAATGTCACGATTTCCCTTTCTCTGACTCCTCTCTGCCTCTGCTGCTCTCACTCACCTGCAAGCGTTCTTGGCCATGCCCACGTCTCCGCTCTGCACCGAGATCAGCTGATCAGCTGCAGCAGGAAGTTTATCCCGCAGTAAGGGTTGCACAAAGGTGCAGCAGGTGCTAAATAATTTAAAATAATGTATTTTAAATAAAAATTCCATGCTGATCATGCAGCTCATCCATTAATCAGCCAATTGTGTGTCATGTCCAATCTTATTTTGAAAAACCGCAACAGAGCGAGTCCGCAACAAACAAACCGCAAAGTAGCGAGGGACTACTGGATTTTAAACATGTAACTGTGGCCCTAACACTAAAATTAGTTTTGTGGTTTCACTGACCTCATGTTCGATGTGTTATATCTGACTTACAGAACCTAAAAGGATTTTAAACATAAGCTTCTTTACAAAAACAAATTTAAAGCAAATTTTTATTATCTGAGCTAAAGAGTCCCCCCCCCAAAAAAATCCAAGCAGTAGTAGCACGTCTGTTCTGTTAATGCTCAGAGGATGAGTTGGCGATGACCGTCAGCTACTTTAAAACTTTACACTGATTTGTTTGGACTGTGTTCAGGAAGCACTTATTGTCGTCCAATATCCTTTTCTGTTTGTAAAGAGCAGTTCATGCATCTGTACAATGAACAACCGCCAGTATGAAATGGTGCCGAACCAGTTCTGAAACGTTCCAGACCCCTCCGTGGTACTCTGCTTTTGTTTGGGAACATCATCCCTCAGGCCTGATTTAATCATAAATAAATTCAAAACTCAGAGGCTTAGACTGTACAGATCACTTCCTTCTGCAACTAAATATGCTCCAACAACCTGGAGTGGAGGGGAAGCACGGTGGCGCAATTGGTAGAGCTGCTGCCTCTCAGCAAGCAGGTCTCTGGTCCAAATCCTGGCCCCGGGGCCTTTCTGGGTGGAGTTTGCATGTTCTCTCCGTGCATGCGTGGGTTTTCTCAGGGTACTCCAGTTTCCTCCCACAGGCCAAAAACATGCATGTTAGGCTGACTGGTAACTCTAAATTGTCCCTAGGTGTGAGAGAGAGTGAATGGTTGTTTGTGTAGTCCTGTGATGGGCTTGTGACCCGTCCAGGGTGTACCCCGCCCCTCGCACAGTGATTGCTGGACATGGGCACTGGCGACCCCCTTGACCCAAAAATGGAAGAAGCGGGTAAAAGATAATGGTGGATGGATGAACCTGGCGTGGCGAGGAAGCAAAAATACACTCCTGGTTCTGTACTTTATTATATCTGCTGCATGTTAGCATTAGTTATTGTCACGTCAGAAGCAGGTGAGGGAGTGGTGGCTGTATGACTGGCATCTTATTTTCACGAGTTTCCAAATCAATGTTTTCAGTTTTTTTAAAAAGATTATTAACAATAAGAACAAAATATCAACCTGAACCTTCATGAAGACCTTCTAAACAGGCGTTAACAGCACACATACCAGCATCGTTCCTTTGGAGTGAGGGAGGAGCACTCGAAGGTCCGTTTTACGGCTGTTAAGGATAAGGCTGCTCCCCTGAGTGGGGTGAGAAGGAGGTGGTGGAGGAGGAGATTTTGTTGGCATGATCTTCCCCAAGCTGCTCGCTCCACTCAGACCCACGAATCCATTCACTGAACACAGAAAATGTGAAAAAGCAAAAAGATTTAATGCAATGATAAGGAATACTGACTGCCTGCCAAAGACTTAAATGGCTGACTCTGTGGTTCCGTGCGTGACTTCTGTAAAAAAAATAAATAAACTCTTCTACAAGGTAAGAGGAGTACATGAGGAAAGTGAAAACTTGAAAAGGTCTCAGGTGTTAGACCCATTTAACTCATCTTCAACAGAATGGACAAGGGGCATATGTTATACAAAACGATGAATAAATTACGTTCTCTTTTTTAACATTATATCCCGTATTTTTCCACCCTATAAGTCGCGGGTTTTTTTTTTCAAAATTTGCATGCCCTGCGACTTATAGGCCAAAGCGACATATTTATGGATTTTTACCATATTTATAAACCATTTTTTTGGCTGAAATATGACAATTTTCATTCATTCTGACAAAAAAAAAAATTGAACAGTACCACTTTCAGCCACTTGATGGCAGTAGAGTAGTAGTAGTAGCAGTAAGGCATGCCGTTGTACCATGTAATAGGTTAAAGTGCCTATAATGACAAATACAAAAAAGTTCAAGACAAAAATAACAACTTCATTTATTATACTTTATTGTTTTTTTTTTCTTGGAACTTTTTTGAATTTACCATGTCCTGGATGGGGCAGCACGGTGGCGCAACTGGTAGAGCTGCTGCCTCTCAGCGAGCAGGTCCTTGGTTCAAACCCCAGTCCAGGGGCCTTTCTGGGTGGAGTTTGCATGTTCTCTTCGTGCATGCGTGGGTTTTCTCCGGGTGCTCCGGTTTCCTCCCACAGACCATAAACATGCATGTTAGGCTGTTTGGTAACTCTAAATTGTCCCTAGGTATGAGTGAGAGAGTGAATGGTTGTTTGTCTCGTTTGTCTCCATGTGGCCCTGTGATGGACTTGCGACCCGTCCAGGGTGTACCCTGCCCCTCGCACAGTGATTGCTCGCACCAGCGACCCCCGTGACACAAAATGGAATAAACGGGTAAAGATAATGGATGGATGGATGTCCTGGATGACTGAGAATCTTTACCAGCTAATAATGACACAATCTGCTTGCCAAAGCCTGCCACCTTCATTCTGCTCGCTGATTGGAGCAACCATCAAACCAGCTGCACCGTCCCGGCAAAATGCAGCTAATTTAACCATTAAAGTGCATTTATTAAGTAAAAGTTCAACTGAGACACACCTTTGCTATAATTTTGAGCAAACAAATAATTGTTTTAGGTGCTTATCTTGTTAAATTTCGAAGAAACGAGAAGCGTTCCTCCTCCTTTTTTCCTCCTTCTGCTGGCTCCCGGAGCATCGAGGCAGTGAAACTATTTTTTAAATAAAGCTGATTTGACCATTAAAGTGCATTTATTAAGCAAACGTTAGACTGAGACACACAAAGACTGAGACACACATTTGCTATAATTTTGAGCAAACAAATAATTGTTTTTAAGTATTAATCTTGCTAAATTCTTGTTAAAGTCCTCCCATGCACGCTCCCATGGCCGCCATTTCAGTTCAATTCAATTCAATTCAAAAATACTTTATTAATCCCAAAGGGAAATTATTTGTTGTTGTAACTCGTTATCCTCATTTCATTAAGAGATATTATAGATACTGATGGCTGTAGACAGGAAGGATCTCTTGTAAAGGTCCATCCCACAGTGGATCCTAAGTAACTGGCTGCGGATGCCGTCCGATCCGTCCACGCAGACTCGGCTGGCTTCTCGGTTCCCCTCGGGCTGTAGGACCGCCCGAATGCCGGGCAGAACTCCTCCCAGAGCGATGGCTACTCCTCCCAGCAGTGTGCCGAGCTCCTCGTTGCTGCGGACAGCCAACTGTAGGTGCCGAGGGACGATCCTGTCCTTCCACTGTCATGAGCCGTGTTTCCTGCTAGTTCCAGGATCTCAGTGGTCAGGCACTCGAGCACAGCTGGCAGGTAGATGAGAATGCATCCACAGAACATCCTTTTCAACTCATTTGAGATTTGGGGCTGTAGTTGAGATATTATTTGAGCTTTTGAGATGTTAATCAGCTGTTGTTGGTTGTAGAAAACTGCCTTATTGCCATGGTTACGCATCATAACAAATGTCTAAAAGTAAAACAGTTTCAGTAAAAATCCTTCCAGCTGCACAGCATCCGATACCAGAGGAAACAATCATCCAAAAAATGTGATTTACATCCAGAAAAAGAGGAATTACAGTTTCCAAAAGCAAAATCTCAAAATGTAAGTAACAGAGCTGCTCCAACATGCAGCCACCTTGAGCAGTGCAATTCTAGAACACAAACATTCTAAATCACAAAAATAAATTTGCAGGTGAAAATTTGCATACAAAAATTCTAGAACACATTTGGCAGCCCATCGATTTTTGGCACAACACCATCCCACATTTTCGGGTTTGGCCCTCATTTTTGAGTTGTCAGTGGTGACGCGTAACAAATACGACACATCAGCGGTGACGCATAATAGATGCGGCGAAGTGACATATTTATGGATTTTTCCACTTTATTAGACAAATATGAACTGATGCGACTTATAGGGTGGAGCGACATGTACGGTGGGAATTACGGTAATACCAGCATGTCTTGAAGGGGAAGCATCCATGATTATTTTTATGGGCTACTTGTTACAAGGTTGCCAACCAAATATAAAAAAGCCTAAAGCTTCTGTAGCAGTCCAACCAAGTTGTCAGGTCCTCTGGACGATTTATTTTTGTTGAAACGTTTTGGCGTTTTGGCTCCTCGGACTGATGACGTTTTTTGGATAAAGCCCATCTCTGCTCCCTGGCCTTTGACACCATTTGAGATGTTGACTTTTAATCATTTTAATCGCTTTTTATTATTGTATGATTGTTTTAGGATTTGTACTATATGTGTACAACTTTTATTATGTGACTTAATCATTTTAATCACTTTTTTATCTGACTATGATTGTTTTATTATGTGTACAGCACTTTGGTCCTGTGGGTGTTTAAAGTGCTCTATAAATAAAGCTGGTATGGTGTGGTGTGGTATGGTATGGTATGGTATGGTATGGTATTGTATGGTATGGTAAAGATGAAACGTTTCAACAAAAAGAAACCGTCCAGAGGACCTGACTTAACTTTGTTGGATTTTTCTACCTGGGTTCAGTGAATGTCCAGAAGCATTTATCCTAAAATGATCTGTAAACACACTTTAAAGATCCAAAAACTACTCACTGCCATCAAAAATCAAACGCTTCATTAATTATTTAAAAGCTTCCTGATGTACAGAAAATACCTCAAGTGTTTTAATGAAGAACGCATTTCCAAAGCCAGCCTTCTGAGTCAGTGGCCCCCACCTTGACAATGCAAATTTAAAACACTGTGATCTAATTAACAGGATAAATTAAAATAAACCTGACTGAAAATGTTTGTCTTTGTTTTAAGGGTGTTTTAGATCCATCGGAGCATGTTTCTAAGATTAATACCAACTGCTTCACTGTGCAGGTCCTTCAGGCCACCTGAGGAAAAACACACGTTGCCTGTTTGGAGAACAGATGGAAAAAATATATGAACTACGGTGTTTCCCCTTGTTAAATTGCCATGGCGGGGTGCTCATCTCATCCATGATTTGTGATGACGGGGGGACGGACACATGTCTGAGCGCAGATTGTGCTAACAGTTTTTGAGTGGGGGCGGGGGGCGTTCAGCATGAGGGAAAAGGCAACGTGAGTGCTGCCTTTAGCTTTTTAGCTAGAGAGCCTGTATTTCGCACCGCTAGCTTAGTGCTATGTCAGTGTCGGGTGGGTAGGTGGGGGAGCAATTTGGTTTGGTAGGCGGGGTGCTCAGTTCTGCTGACGGGGTGGAGCAGCCCGCTTGTATAAAGGTAGGGGAAACACTAAACTATTTGTGTCTTTTACACTTTTCATTTCAATAGAGACATTACCAAAACCGTGAAAGTTTCAGTTTTCCATCCATCCATCCATTTTCTTCCGCTTATCCGAGGTCGGGTCGTGGGGGTAGCAGCCTAAGTAGGGAGGCCCAGACTTCCCTCTCCCCAGCCACTTGGGCCAGCTCTTCCATGGGAATCCTGAGGCGTTCCCAGGCCAGCCGAGAAACATAGTCCCTCCAGCGTGTCCTGGGTCTTCCTCTGGGCCTCCTTCCGGTGGGACGTGTCCGGAACACCTCACCAGGGAGGCGTCCAGGAGGCATCCTAAACAGATGCCCAAGCCACCTCAACTGGCTCCTCTCGACGTAGAGAAGCAGCGGCTCTACTCTGAGTCCCTCCCGGATGATCGAGCTTCTCACTCTATCTCTAAGGGAGAGCCCAGACACCCTGCGGAGAAAACTCATTTCAGCCGCTTGTATCCGAGATCTCATTCTTTCGGTCACAACCCAAAGCTCGTGACCATAGATGAGGGTAGGAACGTAGATAGATCGGTAAATTGAGAGCTTCGCCTTTTGACTCAGCTCTCTCTTCACCACGACAGACCTGTACAGCGCCTGCTTCACTGCAGACGCTGCACCTATCCGCCTATCAATCTCACGCTCCATTTTTCCCTCATTCGTGAACAAGACCCCAAGATACTTGAACTCCTCCACTTGGGGTAGGACCTCCTCCCTGACCCAGAGAGGGCACTCTACCCTTTTCCGGCTCAAGACCATGGCCTCAGATTTGGAGGAACTGATCTTCATCCCGGCCGCGTCACATTCGGCTGCGAACCGCTCCAGCGAAAGCTGTAGATCACGATCTGATGAAGCCAATAAGACCACATCATCTGCAAAAAGCAGAGACGCAATCCTAAGGCCACCAAAACGGATCCCCTCAACACCTTGGCTGCGCCTAGAAATTCTGTCCTTAAAAGTTATGAACAGAATCGATGACAAAGGGCAACCTTGGCGGAGTCCAACTCTCACCGGGAACAAGCCCGACTTACTGCCAGCGATGCGGACCAGGCTCTGACACTGGTCATACAGGGACCTAACAGCCCGTATCAAAGGGCCCGGTACCCCATACTCCCAGAGTATCCCCCACAGGGTTCCCCGAGGGATGCGGTCGAACGCCTTCTCTAAGTCCACAAAGCACATGTAGACTGGTTGGGCAAACTCTCACGCACCCTCCAGGACCCTGCTGAGAGTGTAGAGCTGGTCCAGTGTTCCACGGCCAGGATGAAAACAGCACTGCTCCTCCTGAATCTGAGGTTCGACTATCCGACGGACCCTCCTCTCCAGAATCCCCGAATAGACCTTACCAGGGAGGCTTAAGAGCGTGATTCCCCTGTAGTTGGAACACACTCTACGGTCCCCCTTTTTGAATAGGGGGACCACCACCCTGGTCTGCCAATCCAGGGGAACTTCCCCCGATGTCCATGCAATATTACAGTCACATAAGCCAACACAACCCTACAACATCCAGAGCCTTAAGGGACTCTGGGCGAATCTCATCCACCCTTGGGGCCCTGCCACTGAGGAGCTTTTTAACCACCTCGGTGACCTCAGCACCAGAGATTGGAGGGCCCGACCCAGAGTCCCCAGGCTCCGCTTCCTCAGTGGAAGACGTGCCGGTGGGATTGAGAAGGTCTTCAAAGTATTCCGCCCACCGACCCACAACATCCCGAGTTGAGGTCAGCAGCACACCACTCCCACTATAAACAGTGTTGGTGGCGTACCGCTTCCCCCCCCCGAGACGCCGGATGGTGGACCAGAATCGCCTCAAAGCCATGCGGAAGTCATTCTCCATGGCCTCTCCGAACTCCTCCCATGCCCGAGTTTTTGCCTCAGCGACCACCTGAGCCGCATGTCGCTTGGACTGCCTGTACCCATCAGCTGCTTCCGGGGTCCCGCAGGCTAAAAAGGCCTGATAGGACTCCTTCTTCAGCCTGACAGCATCCCTCACCGACGGTGTCCACCATCGGGTTCGAGGGTTGCCGCCACGAAAGGCACCGACAACCTTGCGGCCGCAGCTCTGGTAAGCCACCTCGACAATAGAGGCAAGAAACATGGTCCACTCAGACTCAATGTCCCCCACCTCCCTCGGAACATGTTCGAAGTTCTCCCGGAGGTGGGAGTTAAAACTCACAGGAGACTCTGCCAGACGTTCCCAGCAAACCCTCACAATACGTTTGGGTCTGCCAGGTCTGACCCGCATCCTCCCCCACCATCGGAGCCAACTCACCACCAGGTAGTGATCAGTGGACAGCTCCGCCCCTCTCTTCACCCGAGTGTCCAAGACATATGGCCGCAGATCAGATGAGACGATGACAAAGTCGATCATCGAACTGTGGCCTAGGGTGTCCTGGTGCCAAGAGCACATATGGACACCCTTATGCTTGAACAAGGTATTCGTTATTGACAATCCATGATGAGCACAGAAGTCCAACAACAGAACACCACTCGGGTTCAGATCAGGGGGGCTGTTCCTCCCAACCACACCCCTCCAGGTCTCACTGTCATTGCCCACATGAGCATTGAAGTCCCCCAGCAGAACAAGGGAGTCCCTAGGAGGTGCACTTTCCAGTACACCCTCCAAGGACTCCAAAAAGGGTGGATAATCTGAACTGCCATTTGGTGTATAAGCACAAACGACAGTCAGAACCCGTCCCCCCCACACGTAGGCAGAGGGAGGCCACCCTCTCATTCACCGGGGTGAACCCCAACACACAGGCACCAAGTTGGGGGGCAATAAGTATGCCCACTCCTGCTCGGCGCCTCTCACCAGGGGCAACTCCAGAGTGGAAGAGTGTCCAGCCCCTCTCAAGGAAACTGGTTCCAGAGCCAGAGCCATGCGTAGAGGTGAGTTCGACTATTTCTAGCCGGAACTTCTCAGCCTCACACACCAGCTCAGGCTCCTTCCCCACCAGTGAGGTGACATTCCACGTCCCAATAGCCAGCTTCTGTAGCCGAGGATCAGACCGCCAGGGTCCCCGCCCTCGGCCACCACCCATCACACATTGCACCCAACCCCTTTGGCCCCTCCCACAGGTGGTGAGCCCATGGGAAGGGGGACCCACGTCTCCTCTTCGGGCTGTGCCCGGCCGAGCTCCATGGGTAAAAGCCCGGCCACCAGGTGCTCGCCCGCATGCCCCACCTCCAGGCCTGGCTCCAGAGTGGGGCCCCGGTGACCCACGTCCGGGCAAGAGAACATTAAGTCCATTTATTTTTCTCTTCATCGGGGTCTTTGTTTCAGTTTCAGTTTTCAGTTGCACAAACCAAAAAACATGTTTTTCTCTTACTTTATTAAAATTCACAGTCAAACCGCTTTGATAAATAAGCTGTGCCTAAACAAAATAAAAATACCTAAAAAAAAAGACAAGCATAAAGCTCATAACTTCATACATAAGACTTTAGACCATCCATCCATTCTCGATACCTGCTTGAGAGTTTCTCCAGCAGAGCTTGGATGAGGGTTGGGGTACACACTGGACAGGTCACATGTCCATCACAGATCCACATACAGACTAACAACCATGCACACACACACAAATGCAACTACAGAGAATTAAGAACTGAAAATTACCCTAACATGCACGTTTTTGAACTGTGAGAGGAATACCAGAGGAAAAAAAAAACTTGCATACACAGAAAGAACATGCAAACACCAAATCGACAGGTTCCAGCAGGAGACCACAACCATGAGCTTCTTTCTTGAACAGTGCAAATGGACATCATGCAGTCCACGCAGCTCACTAAAGAACAACTTTCTTTAATAGTATCGTATTTTTTTTACTTTACGGCGCACCAGATAAGGCGCAGTATCAATTAACGGGTCTGTTTTCATAGACAAGGATCACCGGATTATAAAATGCAGTAAGTGAAACTAAAACATTTTGACAGATTTTTGAGCGCCGTGTACCACATAAAATCAGTTCAAGGTCAGTAAGCACAACCAGAATTAATACATAAGGTGCACTGGATTATAAGGCTCACTGTATTTTTCAGAGGCGCACTTAAAATCCTTTAATTTTCTCAAAAATTAACAGTCTCTTTAATCTGACAGCTTTGATCTGATCCAGCTTTGATTTTAGGTCTCTTTCAACAAAGAATTATTGTTTTTGATTGTTAAGAACATGTTTCATACAGTGAACACAAACCTGTGCTTCCTGTGTTGGAAAGTCTTTGTGAGGAGGGTGTGTTTCTGTGGGGATTTGTGTGAGGAGAGGAGAGGATCCCACTGTCAGCCAGAACTGCTGTGGCTGCAGCTAAAGCCTGGGAGGTCACTCCTCCTCCTCCTGGACAGTAGGCTGTGCTGCCTGGTGCTGAATGCATGAAGTGCTGCTGTGGGTGACCTGTGGGCTGGTGGATACAACAGAAAGACATGATGCAAACTACATAAAATGAAGCACTATTTTGTGTAAAACAAGAGCTGACAAATCCAACAATAAATTTGAAAGTGGAGCTTACAATTTTATGACTTTTCATCATGTTGTCGAACTCCTCGTTGATTTTTTTGTATTTCTCTTCAGTACTTGGAGTGAGGATGTAGGACGACTCAGCATCAGGACTGTCACAAGCTCGGTGCTCCTTCTTATACAAAGCCTGTTTGAAAAAAATATATATCACAATTAAAACCCCAGAAAGATTAGGAGTTAAACTAGGGGGTAAAAATCATAAACTCAACTGTAATTTGATCTATTAAAGCAGCTTGTATTTACCATTCATAATCAGATTTATAAAAGTTTATTAAAAACATTAAAAAGATATGTTAAGTTATTTAAAGAAATGTTTTTTATTTAGAACATGCAGTTAGCCTAAAAAGTTAATTTACCTTATTTTTTGCTGTATAAGTCACAGTTTTTTGCATAATTTACATGCCCTGTGACTTCTAGGCTGAAGCGACATGTTTATGGATTTTTTCCCATATTTCTAAACAAATTTTTAGCTGAGATATGACCATTTTCATTCATTCCGACTGAAAAAAAATTCAACAATACCATTTTCAGCTACTAGATGGCAGCAGAGTAGTAAGGAATGTCGTATCATGTAATAAGTAAAAGTGGCTATAAGGACAAATTCAAAAAAGTTCAATACCAAAGCAACTGGACTTTGTTTATTATACTTTATACATTATTGTTTTTGTCTTGAACTTTTTCAAATTTATGTTCTGGATGACTGAGAATCTTCACCAGCTATTAATGACACAATCGGCTTGTCGTATTCCCCCACCTTCATTCTGCTTGCTGCTTGGAGCAACCATCAAACCAGCTTCATTTCGCTGCACCGCCCCGGAGAAATCCAGCTAATTTGACCATTAAAGCACATTTATTAAGCAAAAGTTCAACTAAGACACACCTTTGCTATGATTTTGCGCAAACAAATAATAATTGTTTTTGGTGCTTTTCTTGTTAAAGTTCGAAAAAACGAGCAGCATTTAGTTTAATGTAAATTTTGCTTTAAAAAATCCCAAAACAAAAACAAACAAAATGCTACACTTTTATTAGATTTAGAGCAAGGTATTTTTTACTGGTGACCTGTTATTTGTGTCACAGTTTAAATATATTTACTGTACATACATTTTCCTTTTAACTCCAACCCTTAAATCCCATCAACCATTTTTTCTGGTTAAAGTCCACAATTTTTTCATATTACATACACAGTGAAATATGATGGCTATAATAAATAAATACTTATGTACTGTAATAAATGCTGAAAAATAATGCAAACTGGTTTTAAGCTGTTTCAGTCACAGTTTTGGAAACAGCCCCTTCACTTCCATATACGGGGTGTGACATCATGCCAGGGATCTGATCATCTGAGACCACTTGATTTTTATTGCACAGGTGTGGAGGCAGATGCAAAGACGGGGAGTCTCATGGAGAAAATACCCCCACCATGACAAACAAACTAACAAGCCTAAACCTCCTTTCTGACTACGGTGCAAAATTATTTGTCAAGCGCCAAAATATCTACAGGAAGAATAAGAAAAAGATGCAGAAGTTTAAGGAAGTTTAGCAGCAATACAGACACAGTCAGCGCAGAAGTGAGTCATGAGATTTGAGAGATTTGTGATATTTAGCAGGTTTGGATTTTATAGTTAAGGTGTACTGTAGTGAGTTTAGTGTTAAGTTTGGTCAGTTTTAGAGTGTTTGAGTCAAAATAATGAGGTGATTTTTTTAATGTGAAACCAGCTTTTTTTTGAGGTGGGGAATGAAGCCGTGGACCCAGTGATGGGCGGAGCTAAGGAGTCAGAACCACTCATAAAGAAGAGGGAAGCTTAAAGGCAGAGAGGTGGAGAAAAACAGAGTCTGGTTCAGACAGTGAGGACTGATGATGAAGTTGACGATCCATTATTTGTTTTTAAAAAGGAAAGAAAAGAAGAGAGCACAGAGTGACACACTGCTCCTGCCTATACCCGATCCCTGGTGTGAAGTTGTTGTTTTTTTTTTACACTTACATGCCCTGAATGTAAACAAAACATAACCACTGTACTACATGACAGTGATTAGTTAGGAGCGCTTTGGACTATAACGATGTGCGATGGACTTTAAAAAAAGATTATAGATTATGTGTCTAAAAATAAGGAAGAAAACCAGCCACTGAGAAAACTAGAAACCAAAAACTTACTACCAGGAAGCTAACAGCAAACAGTTACTTCCCTAACACTGTGGCCACATTGATATTTCTGCAGCTGAAAGCATGCTTGGCTGTTTTTTTATTTAATTTCTTAAGGTGAAGATAAGGACATGTTGCTCTAGTAAAGTTTGTTAGTCATTTTGCAACATCGCTGTAAACAGCTGCTCCTGTTAAATTCTTCACACTATTAGGCAGTCAGTCCTCTACTTAAATATTAAAAAAACATCTGATAAGTTTTAGACAGCCTGTGAACAGATCTGTGTGTGTGTATGTGTGTGTTTATTTATTTCATCCATCCATTATCTTTACCCAATATTTTACTTTTTACAATTGGTAAATTGCTCTAAAAATTTTGAAAAGTAAATGTCCCATTTCAGTTTACGATATTTTTCAATAATAAAATTGTACTTTAGGTATTTTTTTCTTCTCCTTTCAGCTTATCCCTTCCTCAGGGGTCGCCACAGTGAAGTAACTCGCACCAAGACTTGGAAATTGTTTTTACACGGGATGCCCTTCCTGATGCAACCACAGACCACCGAGCTATCACAGCCCTTTGTGTGGAGCAGAGAGATGCTATCTAGGGCACTTGGGGGAGCAGATGGTGGGGGTTAAGGGACTTGCTCAGGGGTTCAGAGTGGGGAAAGTGAGGGTGGAGGCAGGTGTGGGTGTTTCACCTTTCCCACCCACATTTTGATGTTGTCAGTCTGGGGGATCGAACCAGCGACCTTCCGATCACAGGCTTGCCTTCTCTAACCTCTGCGTTACCACTTCCCCCATATTTTTGGTTTCATCACATAATGAAATTCTACTGAAACAGCAAATTCTGTGGGTTACTGTTAAAAATTTTAGTACGAATAATTGAATCTACATGTTGTACTTAAATGCACCATGAAGACATTCATTGTCTACATGTGTTGCCCTAAAAATGTATATTAGTGCAATATTTTTAAGTAATCTGAAGAGCAGGTTGTATGAGAGCATTTTTATTCAAGCTGAAGGCTCAGCTCTAATAGTCACAATTCACAACAGTTAGAAATAGTGACTGGTGTAACAACTCTCTCAGACACAACTTGTTCTGCTGAAGTGAAAGCAGCCATGAACATTACTCTAATTAGTATTGCTTGGTGCAGTGTAGATTGCGTATATAGGAATCTTTAAAGTTAGTTTTTAGTTAAATAATTTAAAATACTGGTTACGTTAAGAAAGAAAAAAGTCTGTTTGAAGCATTAAAATGTTTGATGGATTTATTAAAAGAAAATACGTGCATTTCTCACTTTAAAATATGAAAGTATAAGTTTAAAGCTTAAATTTGAGACAGTCAACTGACTTACCAAAAACAGGTTTAGATAGTTGGTTTGGAATTAGGCCTGTCACGATAACAAATTTTGCAGGGTGATTAATTATCTCAGAAATTATTGCGATAAACGATAATATTGTTTGAAATGTGACAATAATTAGTAATTAGCATCAAATTTAAGAAGAAATGTTTGTTATTTGTTTTGCGTGTAGTACATTTTTTTCGACCATCGGATGGCAGTATAATACTCTTTGAACCGAAGGATGGATAGTGAGGGAGCGAGCAGTGTGTCTCTTTAAGAAAAATGGGAGGGAGGCCCCTTGACGTGACTTGAGCTGTCTCTCCTTCTTTTCTTCAGTTCTCAAAATGGCAGACGCTCGGTGTGGTTTGAGCTCTTTAGCATAGCATTTGTCACACAAAGCTTTTAATAAAAATCAGTAAACAAGTTCTCAGCTTCTTTTTGCAGAGAAAAACAACTCTTTACACGAAGGCACGGGTTTCAACCGTGAATTTTGGAGCTTTGACAAGCTCGTAACTTAGCTTCTCCGCTTAGCTGCTTCTAACGATCCAAAAACACGATTTTGGACGGTTAAAACTGATTTTAAAGAGAAAGGGAGGGTTCAGTGAAGAGCACAGGAGTTGAGCCTTTTGTTATCCAGTGTCTTCAGTAGAAAGAAAGAGACACGAAGAAACAATAAAGCCGATAAATGAAAATGGGGTTGATCATTTTCATCATGCGATTAATTGATTTATTGTTTATTACGACAGGCCTATTTGGAATATGGACAGATGATACGATGGGATGCTGATTTACAAAACCTGGACTTTGGAACAGGAGAGTCATACTGGCAGAAAAAAATAAAATCTAAAAATGTCAAACAAGCCAAGATGATGACATAAGTTCTCTGTCATCCATCATCTCCTCTCTGCCCCCCACTTAGTGTGAAAAGGCTGGACTGACAACTGGCAGTCTGTCCAGCCTGTACTCTGCATTCCCAGACACTGGTAGTTACTGAAAGCTTTAAACACACATTCACATGCCTATTTTCACCACAGGGCCTCAAAGTTCACTTTCGCAGCTGACAGCAGCTTAATAAGGCACATGCTCAATTATGCAATCAAATCATCCATTAATCCATCCATCATCTTTTACTTGCTTCTTCCTTTTCGGGTCACAGGGGTCACTGGTGCCCACATCCAGCAGTCACTGTGCAAAAGGCAGGGGACACCCTGGATAGGTTGCAAGTTCAGCATAGGGCATTTCATTTATAATCCACTGTGAACTTCAGCCTGTACTATTTAACATTAAAATGGACACATACATTTTGGTTTGTTTATTTTGCTGGTTTTTGGAACAGCCTTTCTCTAAGTCTGTCAGTCCATTTAATTATTTATTCTAATTACTTTGAAATATCTTGCAACTTGTTAACAAGAAGCTCTGTAATGCTTAGATGCTTTGTAAATTAAAGTCCCCTGCTTCCAGTGATCAAATCTTCAAAGATCATCTTGTCAGTCGGGTTATACCTGACCTCATACAACATTACAAGATCACCAACGATGACTTAGCCCTGGGAGTGTGTGTTGATTTTCAGACACTACCACAATAAATCTTAGCTCTATTTTTGTAAAAAAAAAACTGTTGGGGGCTCCCTTGCAAAATATATCTGTG